ATTATAATTGGTTTAGCCCGTAAATCAATTTGAGTATAGATTTTCGGAAAATATTGCCTATAATAATTCTTATATATAGTCTTTATTGGAATAGATAATAGAAATACACTCATCACTCCTTTGCCAAAATCATAATATTTTTTAATTAATTTTATTGTTTTCGTTCTTTTCATTAGTGTTCTTCAAGTTTATGGTGTTGCCGCTGTTCAAYCTGTGGCACAGATTTTTGGACACCAAGCTGTCGCACTCGATGATGGAAAACCTGAGGAAGAACCAACAGCAGTGGGAAGAGCTCCGGGAACGCGAGAGCTGCGACGAGCAGCAGCTGATTGCGGACGCCGACGACATGATTCTTGAACCGGAAAACGATCCGGACACGCCGCAGCAGCAGCAGAACCGCCGGGGCTCACTTCCGGMCGTCATGCTGGAGACCGTGGACAAGATGGGCCGCCGGCACTCGGTGCCGCTGAACCTGGCCCGGGTCACCGGCCACGCGCTGCCGTGCACGATGCTGCGCCGGGAAAGCCTGCAGGGCGCGCTGCYCTCGACGTTGCTGGTGCAAGTGGAAAACCGTCGACGTTTCACGCTGGGCCAGATCCCGTACCTGGAAGAGGAGGAGGAGGGTCTGAGCATTTCGGTTGGCTCGTCGAGGAGCAGCGGACTGCAGCGGTCGTCGGACGGCGGCGGTTGCGGCGGCGGCAGTAGCCACATGGACGACCGGCCGGTGAGCGCCGAGAACCTGATACCAGAGCCCAGCATAGCGACCATTACGAACACGGCCGACGCCAGCCGACTGTGCAACGTCATACACGGCGTCACGTCGCCGGTTCTCGGGCACCAGTCGACGGCCGGATGTTCCAGGGGCCTGACCAGGCAGCAGACGTTTCCGCCCATCCAGCCGTACGTCCGGGCCAGGTATCTGTCCACCGGCGGAGACACTGCGGCACCGTGTTCGTCGTCCAGCGGCGGCACGTCGGCCGTGTCCACGGCGTCCAGCCGGACTGGTTCGACCAGCAGCGATGGTTGTCCGTCGGCGGGCGGCGGTGGCGGTGGCCACGGCGCCGGTGGAAACGGCACGAAGCGAGACTCGATCCTGGACACAGACCGGGCGTTCAAGTTGGCCAGGTTTTCGTCCAACAAGGAGAAGGAGAACGTCGACCCGGCAGYACGGACCAATGCGGAAATCAGGCGTAACAGCAATCACATGAACCAGGTTAGTTTGTTTTTATCACTATCGCATTTTAAGTTTCCCCCCCCCCTTTTTGTAACCACAACATTTATATACAACAGCTTTTTGATTCCCTATTCCATACCAGAATATTTTTCTGAGAATTTCAAGACCACCTCAATATTAAATTTCGAACGTTTAGTTAATACGCGATAGATACTACTAAGCAGATACTATTTCATCTATAGATGAAACGACCAACATTTTGGTGTGTACAATTATTCTTGTATAAAAGTTTTTTATTACATGTATTTTTTCGTAAAAGTATACTAGAATCAATCTGAAAATATTATAAGATAAGATAGATTATAGACTATAAGCATATAGGACTTAATTTGCAGATGATAATTACTTTTTTTTGATAATATAAATTTTTAATTACTATAATGCAGTATAATAGAAATAATAGAAACGTATAGATTTTTTTTGTATGATGACATCACTCGACGATTTTCCCTTTTACAATAATTTATGACTAATTTTTTGTACACTATATTATTTTTTAAGGACATTTAATTATCGTCTAGCCAAATTTCATGTTATTTTGTTGAATGTACATAAATCTCATCATTTTTTGTAAATCCCTTAAGTACCCCCGAACATAAATATATTTATTTCATTTTATCCCCATCAACAGCTGTATTTATTATAAATTCCAAAGTTGTGTGAATACCAGTTCGAAAAAATTCTGTGGTGGCTATCGTCAAATAGTGTCCACCCGTTTTGTTTGTGCATTTGGCACACCAACTTGTCCGTAGATACACAACCACTGATGACCTATACAGTGTAGACTACACCAACCCTATGTCAATCAGAACATGTAGAAAAAATAAACTGTCTTACGTTTTTTACCAAACAGATTTTGACGAGACGCCGAGGTTCAGCACCAGTTGGCGCCGGAAACGGTGAGAGTACTGGATTCCTGACAGCCGGCAAGGGCCAAGAAGTGACCATTCCAAGGCGCGGGTCTGTGCCATCAGATTTTTCCAAACAGAGTAAACAAATTTTATTCGTATTTTAAGAAATTGTATATTTTTTTTTCAATTACTTTTATTAATTTTTTATAACATTTTATATTAATTTTTTTTTAAATCTTCTTTTTTAACATTTTTACCATAATTGTTTTATTTGTGAATGACCGCAGTCACAGCGCTTTTATGTCAACGTACTTGTGCACTTGTGGTTAATGCATGGCTTTCTATCGCAGGTGCCCTTTTTAAGGTGGTGGCCACAGGGCCACTGTGCACAAATAGCCCGAAGCAAGGCGCGAGACGTTC